TGGCAAAGGGCCAGCCAGCCAGAGTCATCTCCTAGAGATGTCAATGGACAGCGCTCTGTAAGAAAGTAACCAGCTGCCATAACTGGCTGTGGACTGGACTCTGGACAGGATCTGGCTGGAATGGGATATGTGTCTGGCAGCTTGGCTTATTGATTTTCGCTCTTTTTTCTCCTCCCCGGTTTACCTTTACTATTTGCGATGCGCTGACCTGTTGTGCTCCAATGCTCGTTATAGATACATTGTTTGTATATTGGAAAAGAGCTAACCCGAGTTCCCTGCACTTCAATTAAAAGTGGAAAGCCATTTTCCGACACACTCCAGAGCTTCAGACGGTGCATAAATGGGAAAGAGAATGCTTGCATAGCTTGTTAGGTGATTTAAATTTATAACTGACTGGGAATAATAAGAGTTTTTCGAAAGAACTTGAACAAGAATTGGGTTTTAAGAGTTTTCATATGATTTTTTAGCTTTTAAAAGTGCCATAAACTACAGGTTTTTCCTGCTCTTAAGTAGGCCATACCTTAAACCCTCTTTTTCCCTTTATTAAAATGTAATACTCAGGGTTAAGTGTGCCGTCCTTTGCTGCAGCGCTATCCTTGCTCCGTTCTGGCTTCAATTTGAAATGCTGCATGCAACAAAAAAAATGGTGCCCAACATTAATTGTCAGCTCCCCTAATTGCCTGTTTTGGTTGCACCAAAAAATCCGCAGCCGTTGCCATTGCACCATCGGCCGTGGCAGCATAATAAAAAGTATCTCTCTGCCACACGAACCCCGAACTAAGGAGGAATCGCGCCGCGTTGGGGATCTGCCTGGCCGTCCTTAACCCGAGCTCCTAGCTCTGGGCTGCTGCTGGTGCTGCACCAGAGCTGACACGGTGACCTAAAGGCGACAACAGCTGCATGAAGAGAGGGAGGGTGGCCAGGGAGGGAGGAGTTACAGGGACACAATGGAGGAGGCCCACAAACAACAACACCCAGAATGGTTTTGCTTTTGTGCCCCGTTGGCTGCTGCCTGCTGTTGGTGGAAAAGCCACTGGCTTGGCTAATAAACAATGGGCTCGAAAGGATGCAGAGGGGGGACTGGGTCCCGGGGGCAGGAGCTGGGCCTTTTTTGGTGGCAGACGCATCTGAGACTTCCTGCTACTACTAGATGTTTTTAGCTGTTTTACGCTTTTAGGGCAATTTGGGGACAACGTGGCGTATGCGTATCGTGTGTGTCGTGTCTGCCTTTGCAGGTGTCAAGTGCCAAGTGTGTAGTTTACCGCAAAGTGCTCGCTCTCCCTCTCTCTCTGTCTCTCTCTCTCTCTTTTTACTATCATGCATGCGCCATGTTTTAGTTTTCATAACCCGAAGCGGTAAAAAATAACAACAAAGGACTAGGACGAGGACGAGGCGGGGCAGCGTTTTCCATTCGACAAAAGCCACTGCGGCAGCTATAATGGCCCAACCGCAGACGGGGCCTTAAATTGTTCAATTCTAAGGCCTTTGCCCAGGCATTTATGAGCCAGGACAACGCACACAGGGAGAACAAGGAGCACAAGGAGCGCAAGGAGCACAAGGAGCACACGGAACGGGAGACATTGAGGTCGTTAAATGCCAGGACTTGCTGCATATATTGTTCAGCCTGCGCAAGGTTCCGAGACTTCAAAAAGGAGTGAAAGTTTTCTTTGTCAGCCATTAAAGCGAGCATCCTTCGTCCTACGTTATACAACCCATATCCTACGAATGATTTATCCACTCGTTACACTCGGCTAAGCATATTCGCTCTTCAAAGAGAAAATAAAAAACTTTAAGCAGAAGCAATTTTCGTAAGGAGACATCCTTTAATGATGGCTTTAAGTTTAAGACCCCTTAATCGGTTAGATCCAGGAGCCTTGTGTGTGTGTGTGGCCGGGGCCAACAAATTAATTAGTTTTCAACACTCGAGTTACTTTAAATGGCAATTCGTATAATTAATTTCGCACACATTGGCACGAGAAGTGCAAAGCAAATCGAAATCAGCAGAGCGTCGCCCAAGTACTCAAGGCAAAGGACCTGCCGCTCCAGCCTGGGCCAGGTCATGGGTCACATCGATGGCCACATTCAGAGAGATAACACCTAGAGACTAAGGGAGAGAGACAGGGAGACCAAAGGAAGCAATTTTCCTGCCGAATGCCCTGCCACAAAGCGAGGATAGTGTGTGTGTGTCCATGTTGTGGTTGAGTTTAGTTCTATCCTGCTCAAGGACTTACCCTCCTGCGACTCCCCTGTGCAATCACTCAAACGGCTAAGAAATCAACTGGCAAAGTCATAAATTTTCGGTTTGCAAACTGCAAATTATTTCTGCATCATCCTCTGCTGTCTGCTTTTCCCAGGCAAAAGTTAAATAATGCAAGGACTGCATATGTGTTGAGGAGAAGGAGAAAGTACGCCACACTCTGACTTTGTTCAGTGAAAAATTGTGCAGAAATATTTAAACTGCAATTCCAAAGCGATTTGTTTTATGGCCCTGCTCGAGAATTGTTTCGTTTGGCAACTATTGCTCCTGCTCCTGTTCCTGCTCCTGCTCCTCCTCCTGATGCTGCATCGTGGAAAACTTAACTCGGATTTGATGTGGCCAAGCAGCAGCTGTTAATGCCGCATGATTTATGCCCAGATCCCTTCCAGGCAGAGCTCATTATATGCCACTAAATCAAGGCTCGGACCAGGCCGGGCTTAGGCAACATCAATGTCGCTCTGCAGTTTTTTGGGAGCCTGTGTGTGTGCCGCTTCCGGATCCGTCTCCGTTTCCGTTTCCGGTTTGCAGCAGCGGTCGTAAATTTTTGGGACAGTAGCCGCCGCTTTTGCATGTTCAGTTTATTATTTTATCTGCAGCTCCGCGTGGCTGCCAATTGTCCAGCATAGCGCCTGCATCCTGGCATCCTCCTGACACTACCAATGCCTCAGTGGCTCACACTATCCTTGTGTTTGCAAAATGATTTGTTTGACCTCCCGCCTGGTCTGTTTTTCCTTGCGGTTCGCGATAAATCAGCACTCGACCCAGACACAAACACAGACACAGACGTAGCTCCCAAAGGATATGGGACAGAGGCCACAGGACACTCCCTCGTGCGGCATTTAGTTTTGGGCTTTGAGCTAACGGATTACCATGCATTAGTGCGAAATTAGAACTATTATATTTATAGCGCAAATAGTCCGCACATCATTCCGCTGCCCAGGTAAAAGGCAAAAGCCAAAAAAAGGCTGCGGTTGTGGCACAGAAATATAATAATAATAGAATAGTGAAAAAGCCTAAGCCTTTACATTGAGAGAAATATTTAGTAAAATATGAAAAAAGAATTGATAATAATATTGAAACATTAAATGGAAAACAAATGAAACAACTTTCAATGAAGTTTTCCTTGAATTTGTGATCTTTAGATAAAAACTTGATAATAATATGAAATTTTTGAGTTTATGGCAGTTGTTAAAGCTATTTTTCTAGTCAACTTAATATGCAAAATTTTCAATAATATCTCTTGACAATTTCCCATGCTTAAATATTAATTAATTATCAATAGAACTAAGCTAAGAGCTTCTTCCGGTGTATCCACAAAGCCATTAGACACGCCTAGCTGCCACTGTAGTCGCTGCCACACTGCCACACTTGCCTCACTGCCTTCTCTCTACAGAGCTGTGTGTCTGGCGTTGGGCTGTAATAAAAACATAAAATGTTGCACATTATGCAAACAAACACACACACACACACATTCACAAACAGGCACACACACCCGCTACACCCACACACACTGAGAGGAGCTATAGGAAGATTTCAGCTTTGACGGTGGCGCCGCATGTCTAACACACACACACACACACACTAAGAGCGAAGACCGAAGGACGAAGGATACCTTGTGCTTTAGCAAAAAGCAAACTCCACACACACACCGGCTGTGTGTGTGTGTGTGCGGAGAACATTAAATTTATTTGAAATTATTATTATGCGCATTTACCTAACATTTGCATAACCGTCAACGGTACACACACGGCACACACACAGCGCTCTGCGGGCCAATTTCCCAGTGAAATGTGGGGAAAAGCGGGCAACTGGAAACTGGAACTGGGCCAGAGAGCAAAAGCCAACAACAACAACAACAGATAGCAGAAGCAGCAGCAGCAGCATCAGCAGCAGCGGCTTATAATTTGATTGAAAAGTCCGCGAGGAGTGATCCTGGGAAACTGCTTTCAACCGCAAAATTCCTGCGAGATAAAGAGATATATATTTTTTTGTGCCAATCGCCGCGGTAAACAATATTAAGCGTTCGCTTAAAGCGCTAGTTTATGGGGTTTCCCGCTGTGAGCGTGAAATGAAAAATTCAAGTCATAAAAAAATAATATAAAAACACAAAATGCATTGTTAAAGGAAAAAAATAGATGTATGAAAACATGGCGTATAAATTAAATGCAATGCGCACTAGATTGCCCCACATTGCACACACACACATCGGAAAACTGTTTTAAATAATTAAATGCTGGCACTGCACTTATTTACACCATTTAACCAACTCAGTGAGTTTGTGGAGGGAAAACCAGCTAACTGACACAGCTTACAGGTAGCTAACAAATACCCTGTGGGTATCCTTGTAAAGGAATATATGGGGAAATATTTAGATTTATGTGAAATATCTAAATTAAAGAAGAATTTGCTAGGCAAATAATACATTAGCAAAGAGAGTGAGTGTACTTTCATATTTGGAATTCAAGTGTTCAAGGCGCTATGCATCTTATTATTAAAAGGTCTTCACTACATTACTTTCGTCTTGTGACTCAATTTATGGGAATTAAATCAGCCCAAAAAAAACCCTTAAAAAATCCTTTGTTAGTACATTTCTTGAGTAATTCAGAGCAATAATAAGTTGCCATGACCCCAGACCTTTTTTTCTTCGAAGCTCCTCATCTGTATCCTGGCAGGGAGAAGTCCTGTGTGCCTACACATACAATAAAATAATATAAATATTGCACACCCTGGGCAATGTGGCTTGTTTTTGCTTTATTTTTGCTGGGTTTCTTTTTTGTGACTCAAATAATATTCCGTGTGGTTCTCTAACCCCTCTTTAAGCCACACCCAGCTGAAGGGTACTCGACAGTACGAAGGACTGCTTGCTAGTCACCGATTTCTCCTTCCCCTCAAAGTCCACGTATATGTCAAACTCCAGGTCGAAGATGCTCTCGGCACTCGGTTGTATGCCAAACACGCCCTTGATGGATTCACCTGCCTGCACGGGCAGTGGAGCCTCCAGGTAGAACACCGTCTGGTTCCAGTGCGTCCAGGGAGCACTGGGCGACGTGCTGAAGCTAACCCATCGCTGGCACTTGCTGAACCCCACATCGAAGTAGGCGAGCAGGCCGTGGACCTGGCCGCTGCGCGTGACCTTCAGGTCGTAGAAGGAGCGGAAGACGGAGGAACCTTCCCGGATGGCGTACAAGTCCAGAGACTTCACCAAATACACACGGCTCATCACCTGGCCGGTGGTCACGTGCTCGACCAGAGCCTTGCCGGCGCATCTGCGACGAATGGCACTCAAGTCAAAGCCATGGACGTCGTGCCAGAAGCCAAGATCTTGGTCCTGTCCGGAAATGGCGGTCAGGTAGAGTTGGGCCGAGTCCGGGAAGATGAGGCCTCCTTTCACCAGCCACTTGTCCCGAGCAAATATCAACGATTCCAGCATGTTCTCCAAAAAGAGGCAGTGACTGTTGGAGGGGGATTTCAATAGAGAGCTTTAACTAGACTCCGCGTAAAGGTAACCCACCCCATCCAATCGCATATAAGGATGTCCACTTTCTGAATATCCTTAGGCAGTTCTATATCCTCCACCTTGCCACGGACTACTGTGATTACACTCCCATAACCATTCTCCTCGGCTATGCGGCTAGTATAATCCGTGATACTGGATCCATCGACAGCGATGACTCGAGAGGCACCAGCCTTGGCCGCAAATATCGAAAGCATGCCCAGGCCACAACCCACTTCCAGCACAACCTGCAGAGATCACTCGTAAGTGATGAGAAGCTCTCCACAGGTGCTTGCTCCTTACCTTATTCTTAAAAGACTTGTTGTGGAGTATAGCTTCGCGATAGGCCTTGTTGCGAACAGAGTCCTTAAGCAACCATTCCTGAACCTCAAGGCGACTGTAGAGTTGGAAATACATTGCTTCCTGTTCGCGACGATCCTTAAGGATCTGATTCTCTACACTTTCCATTTCCGACAAGTCGATTTCATCTTTTGCTGCAACTTGAGACATTTTCCCTTGACTTTTGCCTGTCAGTTTGCCTTTACAATATGTTTATCTTAACAGTAATCCCCAAGGTATGCTAGATCCAATGGAATCACTTAATTTCGCCTGGTCTAGTTTTTCATAATTAATTCCTTAAATTTCCACCCCGCTGCTGACTGCGTGCATTAACTAATTAAAAAGCTCATTAGCGTACATAAATCAGCGTTATGCAGACGTAAATTTCATTATTACATCCCAGCAGCAGCAGATGACCTACTCCGGACAATGGACCGTGATGAGCTGGCAAATTGGGAGATGGGAACGGGACGCTGGGCAAACAAGTTTGCTGGAGGGATATCACTCACTCCCATGGCCAGAGCTACATCATCCCCATCCGATTGAGGAGGACATTGTCTTCGTCTAGTCGGGACTCGCAATTATGGCCACACTGCTTCCGGGCATTCCCAATTCGATTGCGGGGAAATGGGACCAAGAAAGTGAAAAGTGAATGCCGCGCTGGATTCTTGACTTAAGCAGGGCACAGCGGAGCGTGAAAACATCATAAAGATGAGAAATTATTATCTGTCCTGGGCTCCGACCGTGGAGAGCGTGGTGCGGGGGGCATTTAGCTGCTCTGTTAGCGTCCCTTGAATGAAATATCACATCCTGCAGAGGAATAAAAATCAGCGTCGGTAAAAAATACACACACATAAGAAGAGTAAGCAAGGGATTGGAGGCAGGAAGCAGCCGGAGCTCGAACAGGAAGGCGGCGCACACGGATACACAGACACAGAGACGATAAATGCTTCCAGCGTCAAAAGACAATGACGGGGCAGGAGTCGGAATAGGACAGGGATTGAGAGGGGAATGGGATTGGGACTGGTCCTAAGCCGGGCCAAAAGGAATACATATAGACAGAGAGGAGAAAATAAAGCCAGACGAGCCTGGAAAGTGACGAAAAATTGTAAAAATAAAATATAATGGAGCCAAACGCAGGACTCAAGTCCTGGACTTGGGCGATAATTTTTTATTTGTATGCCAGCAGCAGCCGTAAGCTAAGAGCCGTCCGAAAAGGGGTTACAGGAAGGGGGGAGGCCATAAGTGGGGGTAAATACCGACACACACACACACACACAGAGACAGGAGCAAATACAAACACAAACACTTTGCGGCCATCGCCGTCAAGCTGCGCGTTATCCTTTGTGTAATTTCTGGTTTAATGAGGCGACACCGGCTTGGTCCTGTACCGCCCCCCCATAGGTAAGCATTTTTACACTCATACATTTTTACGACTCGAGCATTAAGTTAAAATTTGTGTTAAATATTTTATTGTTTTTATGGCCACATGAACACCTCTTGCAGGGACACGAGTCCTGGCAAATTATGAGATTCAACTCCTACTTCCCCCCAGTGGCAAGAGACAATCATTTAAGCCGCCCCCCGTGTGGGAGGGCAGTGTCCTTGAGTGGTATGCACGTGGCACGAAGGGAGAATCACCAGGGAAATGGAATCACAAAGCATAAATTCTAGAATATCAGACAATATTCATAGGGATATGCTGGTGGCAAGGTGTAAGTGTTACACGTCAGTGATTATATTGTTGAGCTTAGGATTATAAATATATAGAAAATAAAGAAAAACTGGTAAATATTCACATCGAATGGTACTCGTAGTGGTTATAAGCACCCATCGTATTAATAGGTAGTGATTTATGTATATACGTCGTTGAAAAGGTATTTTAAAATGCTAATCAGCTTATTATTTGATTGAAAACTGAGTTATATATATATTCACAATATATCTCCATTAATTACCCGATCGTTTGCAGAACAGCTAATGACATCAATTTGTATTGTATATATGGTTTACAATATTTTTCCTGTTACAAAAGCAGATAACTGCATTTCTATATACATATTTATAAACATAGACATTGTAAAATATATTTAAAAAGAGCTTTCATTAATCCCAGTCGAGTTCATATGACTCTACCAAAGTCTTCCCATAAATCTTAAATTAGTTCATCAGAGAATTTCATCTTTAGCGGTCTTAATCCCGCTCAGCTTAAAGATGCACATCGCCGGAAGTTACTTTCTTTGGACTCTGGCTACCTCTATGTTGTGGAATGCATCCTTGGCGGAGGACCTCCAAGGAGTTGGACCTAATCTAGAAGATCAACTTCAGGCGGTGCAAGCCAAAGTGAAGGAATCCCGAACTAAACTAGAAGAAAGTCTGCTTTTGGATAGTCTTGCAAACCAACTTCAGGAGTCTTTAGACAACCGACATAGGAATAATGTTCTACTGGGCTTCGAACGAATCGGTGACAGATACTTTCGTATAATCAATAACTTTACTGCAGATTGGTTTTGTGCTAGGAGAAAGTGTCCTCAGATGGGAGGTTACTTAGCCTCTTTTCGAAACGAAGAGGAACTCACGGCCGTTACAGCAAAATTAAGTGAATTTAATCCCTACTGGTTGGGTCTCAATGATCGAAATACTGAGGGCCACTTTGTTTCTGAGGCCTCGCACAAGTCAGCACAATTTTTAAAGTGGAATGACATGGAACCAGATGACGAAAAACACACCGAAAACTGTGTATTATTACATAATGAAACTATGGATGACTTTAATTGCTTTACTGAATGGTATTTTATTTGTCAGGCGGACAATGAAACTTGGAGAAAATCGCATTGATCGGTATTATGTTTTATTTACCAATAATAATAACTTAATAATTTGGTAAAAATCTTCTTTATACTATATAATAGTGTGATATGCTACTTAGGTACCCGTTCTAAAAACTATGTAAATACAAGCACGCAGAGTGCGATTAGCGTTATAGCTAATATCAATCCCAACCAAATTCGGATGCCTCTCGGGAATCAGTTGATAATAGACATTTACCTTTACTCTGATTTATATGATCTCATATCTAATTAAAAAATAATTTGTAATTAACCTTTGGTTAATGTAACCTTTCTTTTCAATAGCTTAGTTGATTTTAGCCCATTAAGGGGTGTTTAAATTTGATCAAAAATCATGCTAAAATTTATGAAATCACACAGATACTTGTCTTTTGTATATTGTCCTTCTTTTAGCCAGGCAGGACACGTTCTGGCAACTCTCTGGAGGTGGAACTGAGGAACCGAAATCATCTTCAAGTGCGTGTGGTCATTAATAGTTGGTAACACTGACCAGATTGGTCAAACTACATGGCAATCTGGGCACCTCCTGTGCCCTTTGAGATTTCGGCGATTATGGAATTGGCAATTAGTTGACTGTGAAGAAGAGTTCACTGTGACAGCTGTCCGAGATGGGCAGGTAGAATCAACTCAAATCGCCTGGAAGCTAGCATATGGCACACTCTCTCACATACTTGGGACATACTTGACAGGCAGACAGTGCAAGAGGTGTGTTCGTTCACCTGTTCACCTGTCTGGTGATGGCACAAATTAGTCGAAGCTATCAGGAGGACCTACATATTAGCGTGGCCAAGTGAATTATGATTACGGCTCTCGCATGCACACAGAGTTTATGGCATGTAGAAAGCAGAGTATTTGCAGATTTATTGCAGCTAAAAATCAACGCTAATATAATGCATAAATCAGAGTGCTTAAGTCAACATATTACGTAGGGTAAGGCAATGGGTAGCTGCACTACGAGGAGGTCCTGGCCAAGTGAAATTCAGCGAAAACGAAACATTTTCGGCTACGTCCGAGGGTGGCACTTGCTCTAGAATGGGTGGTGGGTGGTGGGTGGTGGTAGGTTGGTTCTTGGTGTGTTTTTTTTGCTGACAAATCGAGGGCGTCTCTCCCGTTATTTCTCTCTCAATATAAATCGCTCTCACTCTCTGCGAATCTCCTTTCTCCGCTTTGCAGATTAGCGCAGGCGCTTAGAAATTCCATTTTCCAGGCTCTCTGCTTCAAGAGTTTCCTCTCGATGGAATAAGGGAAAAACGTATTAAGGGGAAACAAGGGATTTTTCTTGGCAGCTGTGCTGGCTAATTAAAATATTACACCGTAGGTCAGGCCTACCAGCCGTGGGAATTTTATGACTTGCCAAAAGAACCGCCTCGCCTCGATGCAAATGGACCAACTCATCATTTCCAGATGCAGGTAGAGATCTTGCAAAGCATTCCCAGGCATAATAATTAAAAAGCAATTTATGACCAAGAATTCCATTAACTTGACCAATTATCTGACCCCGGCGCGGGGTCACGCTTCTCTAGCTGCAAAACTTCAAAACAGAATTGACTTTTTAACACATTTCCACCTGAGTTCTTTTGGGTCTTTCGGTTAGCTTTTCAAGCTGCCTGCGCAGGCGCACTTTCCGCACTTTCTGAGCGCCAAGCCAAAGTTTGGAGTGGAAAACGGGTTGGGAGTTGATAGTTGGTAGTTGGTAGAAACTGGTTTTTGGGTCACAACACACACACACACACACCGAAGGGCCCCCTGAAGAACAGGTAAAACTCCGACTCCGAGATAATTATTCAATGAAGCCGACGACTTCGAGGGCTTCTCACTCCCCTTCTTCAGAGTTCTTCCTCGGTTCTCAGGGTTTCGCCTCGGAAACTCATGTCAAAGGGTTCAAGCCGAGGACAGGTTCGAACTCGGGCCAGAGAGAGTATCTGCGCAGTTTCTCTTTTACAGAATCAAACTCTCTTCCTCTCTCTCTCTCTCTCTCTGAGTGTGTGTGTCTCTCTCTCTCTTGGGTACTCAGTTTCATCACGGCTGCTGCTGATGGTGCTACCTCCCGATGCGGATTTAGTACTCAATTGTTTTTCTGTCACGGCGTACGTGAACGCGGACGCATCTCCGTCAGCTTCCGAGGCAAGGCCCAAAAAACTCATTTCATCAACCAGTGTGTGTGTGTGTGTGTGAGAGAGTGTCCAGGTGTGTGTGTGCCTAGGAAAATTGCCCAGGAAAAATGCTTCAATGGATTTAATACAACCACAGCAAAAAATCAAAAGTGAAAAATCAACAGAAAAACAAAAAGCGGGCGAGCGGAACTCAAAAACAAGAAAATTCACCCACACACAGCATCGTCCAAAGGGGGAGGGGTGGTGGGACACGCGCTCTTCCCTGACTCAATGGAAATTCGCTCTGCGTTTTTCGGCACTTTTCAGGAAAAACAGGACCACACCCGCGCGGTTGCACCAGCTTGAAAAAGGGAAAAGCGGCTGAAAAGCCAAAGAAAAACAGAACTCTGAGAGCAGAATAATGGAGTCTGCAAGCAAAAATTCCAGTTTCCCAAAGGATCGCCAAAGAGAGATGGATAGAGAGGCAGAGAGAGAGAGAGAGAGCATTACCAGTTGTGCTGGAAAGGCGAGAAATTCTCGACAAGTTTTTTTTTTTTTGAGGGGCCAGGACAGTTGCGCAAGTTAAACAAATCCCGTTATTAGGGGCAATTTCTGTTCTGGCCGTTACGCATCAGCTGTTGGTCTTTAGGCCAAAAGGAAAATTGCACTCATTTTCATTTAAAATATCCCAGGAAAACCCTTGAAATAATAAGAATATAATAACCATTAAACTATGTTTTAAAGCTTCAAACTTTTGGTACAAATCATTGCAATTTTAGTGCTTCCCACATGAAAACCCTTATATTTCTGCTCAGCTCTGCCTTGGAAAACTGGTAATTCTTCCTCTCTCTCTCACTCTCTCAGCTCCTGCTCTCTCTCTCTCTCTCTCTGTCTGTTTAGGTTTTCCTTTACGTTCTGTTTTTTCCTGATTTTTGAGGGAGCTCTTTGCAGCCGCGCTTTTCCAGCAATCTGGAGCTGTGTTCGGTTCGACATCGCGCCGTCAGTCGAAGGTTTCAAAAAACGGCAACGGCACAGCTGTGAGCTGGAGTCCTCTAAAGTGCTTAGGTTTTTCATAAAGGAAAAGCCAGGATACTAGAGAGGGAAGGAGAACTAAAACAGAAATAAGTAAAAGACAGAAAAAAACAACCGCGTCAAGTGACAATTATATAATGTACTACAAAAGCTAAGGCGTGACCCGACCCCGCTGATGAGTCACGTGCTCTGTGTATGTGTGTGTGTGTGTGTGTGTGTGAAAATCGTAAAAATCAAAAGGACAATCAAGGAGCCAGAGTCCTTGCTGTTGACCAGACGCGACAATTACCACATCAAAAGAGCGAATAACCCATACAATAATCCTATTTTTACGCCGTATTGATTTTATTTGTTGTGCATAAAAGGCGCGGCTTTTCCTTCAGAGTGTGTCCCCCCCCGAAAATATATATACATTTAACGCCTTATGTCTTATGCCTTTGTTTTCATCCCCATCCCCATCATCATTTCCTTTTCCAATCAAATAGGAATAACATAAAAATCCATTGTGTCGAACGGAAAACGGTTTCAAAGTCCTTCTTCGCAAAGTGTACTCGAAAGTGTCATAAAGTATGCGATTATCCTGTAAACAAAGTGTAAAACGCGCAACCGAAAACAGCAGCCAAGGTCTAGAGTGAAAGCCAGAAAGCAAACAACAAACATAACTCAACGGATTTAACGACTCTAAAAGCCATCATCAGCAGAAGAAGGAGTATAGAACTACCAGGACCCCAGGCTCACAACTATAGCATCCGGATCTGAGCACATCGTATAATGATTGCGCAAGTGAGGTGAGTCACACACAAAAATGAACCACGATACTATCGATACTCCCTATATAATAACAACTGAAAAACTACTCCCCGGGGAAAGCTAAAAACAAAACTAAAACTCATTTCCAGGGGGAGAGAGAGAAACTAAAGGGCTTTGGGCTAAAAATTGCCAATGCATTCTGCAAATCAAATACTTTGGAGCGTCCGCAGGCTAGGATTTAATTAAAATTTATGAAATTTTCAATTACAAACGGCAGAAGTGTAAATAAGTGCGAGTACGGCACAATTCAATTACGGAATAACTGAGGCCAGAAAAAAAACCCAGACACACACAGCACTGCACTGGCTGTTGTTGGCCCAAAAAACAAACAACTAAACTGGGCCAGAAAACAAACGAGGTAGGGGAATTGAAGGGACAGAAACTGGCTGGGGGATTGATGTATACATATATATAGGAGAACGATGTTTGGCCGGGGCTGGGAGGCTTGATTGGTTTTGTGGCTTTGTCCACATCCTCCTCAGACTTGCAGACTCAGACTTGGCTCAGAGGGAAAGATGGGAAAAGATGGACAGATGGCCAGTTGCAGTGTGGAAATAACCAAGCAGCAAGCAGCAAACATGTGTAACCGATGACAAAGACGATACAAAAGGGAGCCAGAGTTATTAGTGGCCAGGAAATTGCAATTCCCCCAAAGCAATCCATATGGTTTATCGCTTCGCTTCACTCGCTTGCTTCCTAGCCATGCCCCCATGGCTTTTCTTGGCTAAATATTGATCTACCTTATAGATCGGCTGTACACCAAATCGATTTACAATTACACCAAAGATACATATTTGCTTTTTATAGATTTTTTTGTAGCCAGAGCGAGACCGCTGGAAGTGGGTGCTTGCGTGACTGCTGTGTAAGGTCACCCACTCGTGGTAACCTATTCAAACGAGTTGCGACCTCGCTTAGCGGCGGCGATAACGATAACGATAACTATACGCTCTCACGAACGCAGGGCCCCCCTTAAAAACAACAGTCTAAAAAACTGAAACGCCATTAACAGTTTTAAGAAAATTCGATATTCCACCTCCATTATATTGTTTATACCTGGTTATATTAGAGACGCAAAAAAAAAATTATCGAAATTTTGTTGTTTCTATATTTTTACAGTTTTTGTTTTTAGGAGAACTAGCCTTTATTTTATTCCCTTACAGGGTATCATACATTCAGTCAGAAGCTTAAAACGAAGTGAAGGACTCATTTCCGACCCTATAAATCATATATATTCTTGATCAGCATGAGCAGGGGAATCTTTCTAGGTATAAAAAAGGAAAAAAAAATTTTGAAAAATTTTTTCAACATTTTTGTTGTTAAAAAAGTACTTTTAACAATTTAAAAAATTGACAAAATTTTAAACATTTTAAAATTTCAAATAAGGTATGCAGACTTATTAAACTATTAAAAACTAGCACAGAACAGCTTTCCGAATCGAAATTGATGCATTTTTGGCTGAGTTATGAGTTTTTTAAGCTTTGGGTTATGGAAAAATCATCATATTGAATATTTATAACCTTACAGGGTATCATAAATTCAGTCAGAAGATAAAAACAAAGTGAAGGAATCGTTTTCGACCCTATAAATCATATATATTATTGATCAGCATTAACAGGGGAATATTTCTAGGTATAAAAAAAGGAATAAAAATTTGAAAATTTTTTTTCAACATTTTTGTTGTTAAAAAAGTACTTTTAACAATTTAAAAAATTGACAAAATTTTAAACATTTTAAAATTTCAAAAAAGGTATGCAGACTTATTAAACTATTAAAAACTAGCACAGAACAGCTTTCCGAATCGAAATTGATGCATTTTTGGCTGAGTTATGAGTTTTTTAAGCTTTGGGTTATGGAAAAATCATCATATTGAATATTTATAACCTTACAGGGTATCATAAATTCAGTCAGAAGATAAAAACAAAGTGAAGGAATCGTTTTCGACCCTATAAATCATATATATTATTGATCAGCATTAACAGGGGAATATTTCTAGGTATAAAAAAAGGAATAAAAATTTGAAAATTTTTTTTCAACATTTTTGTTGTTAAAAAAGTACTTTTAACAATTTAAAAAATTGACAAAATTTTAAACATTTTAAAATTTCAAAAAAGGTATGCAGACTTATTAAACTATTAAAAACTAGCACAGAACAGCTTTCCGAATCGAAATTGATGCATTTTTGGCTGAGTTATGAGTTTTTTAAGCTTTGGGTTATGGAAAAATCATCATATTGAATATTTATAACCTTACAGGGTATCATAAATTCAGTCAGAAGATAAAAACAAAGTGAAGGAATCGTTTTCGACCCTATAAATCATATATATTATTGATCAGCATTAACAGGGGAATATTTCTAGGTATAAAAAAAGGAATAAAAATTTGAAAATTTTTTTTCAACATTTTTGTTGTTAAAAAAGTACTTTTAACAATTTAAAAAATTGACAAAATTTTAAACATTTTAAAATTTCAAAAAAGGTATGCAGACTTATTAATCTATTAAAAACTAGCACAGAACAGCTTTCCGAATCGAAATTAGTGGATTTTTGGCTGAGTTATGAGTTTTTTAAGCTTTGGGTTATGGAAAAATCATCATATTGAATATTTATAACCTTACAGGGTATCATAAAATCAGTCAGAAGATAAAAACAAAGTGAAGGAGTCGTTTCCGACCCCATAAATGATATATATTCTTGATCAGCATTAACAGGGGAATCTTTCTAGGCATAAAAAAGGAAAACAAATTTTGAAAATTTTTTTCAACATTTTTGTTGTTAAAAAAGAACTTTTACCAATTTAAAAATTTACAAAATTTTAAATATTTAAAAATTACAAATAAGGTATGAGGAGTTATTGATCTTTTAAAAACTAGCATAGAACAGCTTTCAGAATCGAAATTAATGCATTTTTGACTGAGTTATGAAATTTTTAAATTCTGATTTGTTAACAAAAATGGTCATATAAAAATATGGATAAGTATTGATTCAATGAATGGTGCTTATTTATAATTGATTTCCAATAATTCAAGTTAGTTATTTAATCGATGTATACCTATTTTATTAAAAATTGGCAAGAAAACTCAAAGATCAACAGAAAAACTCGTCTAAAAAGTTCGATTTTAGTTGCTTAAAGTTACTATTTTTAGATTTGTTTATATTTTCGCCAAAATAAAACACCCAAACAACGAACGGAAGCTGCGGTCAGTCAGTCAATGAGTCTGCTTAGAGTCTCGAGCAGTTTGCTGGAATTTGTTGCCCTGATTCGGACCCTAAGCAAGATTATCCAACAATATACATGCTATGAGAACTTTATCAGCGCCAGTTTCGAGTTTTTTTGGGTATATATACACACACACACTCCTCTCTCTAGATCGGACAACTCCAGAGTTGGCGCCCAAATCCCACGAAACCCGAGCCCCAAGCTCGAGTCCGAGATGGAGAAGGCGTAGAAGTTGTGAGTGGACTGAGGATGGGGGCTTCGGGTCGGCTTCGAGATCGGCTTACAAAACCCAGAGGTATATTTGAGGTATATATCTGTATTTGTGTAGCTTCAGACTCCAGTTCGTGTATAAGAGAGCAAACGAAGCTGGGAACTTGTTTTTCTTTAGTTTTTTTCTTCTTCTGTAGTTGTTTTTCTGCTGCCTTTGATAGATACACAGAATTTCCTGCAGCAGCAGCAGCAGCAGGGTATCGCGTTCTGTTAAAGGCGGAGATGCAATTTGCTGTCGACGATCTCTGGTAAGAGTCTGAGCACTCATGTACTCATACACAGGTGTAAAAGGTAACCAGGTAGCCAGGGTGGTTTCTCACATTCAGGTGAAGTTGCAGGGCTTCACTCAACACCCTGGCACCCACATCCTCCTTTCTGGTGACGCTTTGTTCTTCTGTTCTGGGTTCTGTGTTTTTGTTTTGGATTTTCCACCGTTTCCCGCTGTTTCTCTCATATATTTTTCACACTCCATTGGCAGTGAAGTGTTAAAATTGACCCAGTTGTTGATTTATTTTTACAGGCAAAATGTCGTGGCATTTTCTCCCTTTCTGAGCTCCGGGTGGAAAAAAAAACAATACGAATTTGCGTTCCCAATTTAAATGCATGCAATTTTTCGGTATTTGTATATACAACCCAGCCAGGCACGATCCACTGAACCGCACTCTCCCCACGAATCGAATCGAATCGAATTGCTTTAAGGTCTTTCCCGAGTCCAGAGTCTGTGCCCTCTCTCTCCCTGCACGAATGCATTTTCAAATTTTCTGGCCAAATTCCAGGCAGAGTGAGGGAGTGAAACGAAGGCAAGTTAAAGTTGCAAATTGTTTGCATTTTTTTCTTCCTGCTACAAGTACGAGTGTTTCCACAAAAAAAGTGCTGGCTGGCAGAGACACAACTTTGCTGCTGCAGCCTGCTGCTTTTTGTTGCCTCTTCTTTTTAATAACTATGCGGGTTTGCGTTTTTGTTTTCTTATGGCCAGAAAGTTTCTTCTTTTCAAGCTGAAAGTTTAAGTGCAAAGCCGTTGAAATTAAAATATTTCCATACAGACTTAAAGTTTGGCCTAAAAAGAAGTCCTCTTCTAAATATCCCTCTTTACCCCCCAGGGACAAAGTGTTTGCGGTGTTCATTATTTCGTAGTGACCCATTAAAGTAATTTGCCACACTTGTCGCCGGTGCCATTAGGGCCCATTAAAGCGCAATCAGAAATTTTGTGGCCAGCCTTTTACTCCCACACCCAATACTCGAATATCAATTTGAGCAAAAACGAAAAAGTTGCCCAGAAGTCGGGGCAGGGAACCCTTTTTATTAGTTTTGAGATATCGACAGGCGGCCAGAGAACCCTGCTGGCTTTTAATAAGGACATTCAGGCCACAGCGGCAAATAGTTCAATGGACTCGTCAAAGCCCTCGTCCTGCCGCCTAAGACGCAGCTTAGCTTAGCTTGGCGCTGAAAAATCAATATCCTGTCCCAGTCCCCGAGGTCCTTTGTTGGCGAG